TGCAACTCTTTGGTGAGCTTGACCATCCCGAGCTCAGTGACGCACATCGGAGAGAATGCCTTTCAGGGTTGCAGTTTCTTGAAGAACTTGACCATCCCCAACTCACTGACCCACATTGGGGATCGTTCCTTTGCGAATTGCAGTTCTTTGGTGAGCTTGAGCATCCCGGACTCCGTAACCAACATTGGGGAGCATGCCTTTGAGGGTTGCAGCTCTTTGGTGACCTTGACCATTCCAGAGTCAGTGACGCACATTGGAGAGCGTGCCTTTGAGAGTTGTGCACGATTGAAGACATTGACCCTCCCGAGCTCTGTGATCCACTTTGGAGATGGTGCCTTTAAGGGCTGCTGCTCATTGGGGAATTTGACCATCCCCAACTCACTGACCCACATTGGGGATCGTTCCTTCGTGAATTGCAGCTCTTTGGTGAGCTTGAGCATCCCGGACTCCGTAACCGACATGGGAGAAAATTCCTTTGAGGGTTGTGCACGATTGAAGAACTTGACTATCCCGCACTCAGTGATCCGTATTGGAAATGGTGTCTTTAAGGGCTGCCGCTCTTTGGTGAGTTTGACCATCCCAGACTCAGTGACCCACATCGGAGGGAATGCCTTTCAGGGTTGCACTGGATTGAAGAACTTGAACATACCGAACTCAGTGACCCACATTGGCAACGCAGCCTTCAAGAATTGCAGTTTGACGAGCTTGGCCATTCCGAACTCAGTGATTCGCATTGAACATGGTGCGTTTCAGGGTTGCTGCTCTTTGGTGAACTTGACCATTCCAAAGTCAATCACGCAAATTGAGAAATGTGCCTTTGCAAATTGCCGCTTTTTGGTGAGACTGACCATCCCAGACTCGGTGACCCACATTGGAGAGAATGCCTTCGAGGATTGCACATCCTTGAAGCACCTGACCATCCCGGACTCAGTGACCCACATTGAGATGAGTGCCTTTGCGAATTGCATGGCTTTGGTGAGCTTGACCATCCCAGATTCGGTGACACACATTGGGCCAGAGGCTTTCAGGGATTGCTGGTCATTAGCAGACCTCATCATCCCGAACTCAGGGATCCACATTGGACAGGATGCCTTCAAGGGTTGCCAGGTTGCCTCTGTTTGGCGTGCTTGACCATCCCAGACTCAACCATATTTGCATTGGGCAACAGCCTCTGCACTGATGGTGCTGAAACGAACGATGCACCGTACTACGGATGGGGGGAGACAGTGGTTGAAGCGACTCGTACATCATTTTGATGGATTTTGACTCATAACGACGTAGACCCTAGAAGTCCAGGAACCGACGATATTTTGACCGGCTAAAGTAAAGGAAGTTCCCGGACTCAGGTTTGCTAAAGACCATTCTTTTTATAGTCTTTGACTCATAACTACGTAGAGTATGCTAGGTGTTGTTGATGACTCTGGCACGACAGGGTGGATGAAACTGTGCATTGTTCCAGAGGTTCCAGACCAATGCATGAACCAAAACCAGCCTAGAATAGCCAAGGTGACCACATGGGCCGGAGCTTCCTCATGCAAGTACTCTACTCCAAAAAAAAAAAATCGTGCAAAGGATCATCTCTCCTTTGAACCAGCAGCGGTTTTTTTCAGACCACCCGACCTGCTACCCCGACTCTCTCGGTCGTTGGTTTCCACTCGTTCAGGTCACCTCTTCGGACCGAACGGTCTTCGTCCGACGACCTCGGCGGGTGCCGGAGCGTCACGTATTTCGCCGCGGGGCGTCCGTTTCGGCGACGGAGAGATCAGACGGGACTGGTTCGCTGCGGTCATTTGATCTGAAAGCAGAGAGAGAGAGAGAGAGATGAGATGAGAGATGAGAAGATCAGAGAGTTCTTAAGGTTTGGTGTAATTATAATAGGTATTTTCTTCACTGATGAAAGAGTTTTCCGAAATGATCCGGGGTTTCGTTTTCACCCGGGTTTTCTCCAGCCACCCCGATAGAAACGGGATGAACCACACCCCGGACGGCACGGGCGTCTGCTGTACCAACCAGTTGCTCCGCACAGGCCCGACGAACACCGGGGTTTGGAGGGTAGGTGGGTACACTACGGTGGGTTCGATCATTGAACTCAGTACCTATACTTGTAGCGCATGTTGGACCTGGGTGTCCTGGCTGGAGATCCGTAGTCCAGCGAGGACACCCAGCATGATCCTGATAGATCCGACTTCTCGACCCAGGTCCG